CATCTTCACTTTCTGTTGGAGTTGGTGATTCTCCTCCCGCAGCTTGTGGTTCTCCTCCTGGAGTCTTTTGTTGTCTCTCTGGAGTGGTCCATCTCTTTGGAGCAGCTCAGAGAGTCTCAGGATCTCCTGATCCTTCTCTCTGAGCTGCTGCTCTATCAGCTCGTCCCTGGTGTCCATGATGTCTCCCCACATCATGGACTGGCTGCTGGAAGATGCTTCCTCATTGTGGAGACTCTCGGCGATGGTCTGCCGTTGTGCTTCCTCCAGCTCCTTGCACTTGCGTCGGCTTTTGTCCAGAAGTGCCTCCAACTGGCCGATTCTGTGGTCGGCACTCTGGACCTGCTGGAGGAAGCGTCGCTTCTCCTTGAGGAGCTCTTCCACACGCCGGATTGCCGCATTCAGGGACTGCTGCATCCCTGCCAGGTTTGATGGCACAGCGTCAGGAGCAGCGCGGTGAGGAGTGTTCATATATCCTCCTCTGCGTCTGCTCTGATAGTTTCTCTGGGCCATGATGGTATGGAACAGAAGATCTACAGAAACAGAGCAGATGATGGTTGTTAAGATGAGATGAGATAAAGTGCAATACAGTGAAATAAGACACAAAAAATTTAGATGAGAAATGCGAAGAGACAATAAGAGACGATTAAGTTAGATAAGATACAATAAAATAGGAAAAGAAACAATAAGATACAATAGAAGAAGATACGATAAGATAAGACACAATAAGATAAGACAGCATACGATAAAATAAGACAAGATAAAGTATGACATCATAAAATGATATGATGAAAAAAATAAGATGAAATAAGATATCACAAGATACGAGAAGATACAATAAAATACGATACGATGAGATAAGATTTAGTATAATAAGATAAGACAATAAAATAAGACAACATACGATAAAAAAGATAAGATAAAGTATAATCTAATAAAATGAGATATGATAAGATGCAATACAATAAGATAAGAAACCACAAAATAAGATAAGACAACATATGATGTCACGTCTTTGGGTCAAAGACATTCATAATTTCACAAGAGTGATAAGTTAGTGAAAAAGTTACAAATAAGTTCATAGTGTATAAATAAATAAGTTAATTTCATGTTAAAGACTGTTAAAAGCTGTGGTTAGAAAGTTATGAGAGTGAGACATCTTGATAAAGGATCGTTGTGGTTCCAGCAGAGTGAGAGCTCATCTGGATGACGTCATCTTTTGAACCAAAAGTGTGCTTTTGTACATGTATTTATTGGCATATGTCGACAACCGTTGATCTAATCTGCTTCAAACGTGGCAGGTGCATCACTGGTGACCTGTGGAAGCAGACTGTCAAGTTTAAAGCACATCGGTTAACCAGAGACCGTTTTAGGGTCTTTTTGTTGCCTCCAGATACACAGTTGAAACCGGAAGTTCACATCCACTGTATAGAAAGACACATAAGACACATAACCTTTTGTTTCTCGCTGTCTGACATTAAATGAGACTAACCTTTTCCTGTTTTAGGTCAGTTTGGATTACCAAAATTATTTATATTTGCTAAATGCCAGAATAATGAGAGAATTTTTTTAAAACGTTTTTTAAAATCAGAAGTTGACATTCACCAAGACTATCCATCCATCCATTATCTATCCATCCATCATAATCGAATTTCCCTTCTGGGATGAATAAAGTATTTTTCATTCATTTCATCTACAGGTAGAGGAAGCAGCGAATTAAAAAGCGTTCTTTCCCCGTTCGGTTCTAGCCTTTGGAACAGACAGTAGCAACAGATCCTGGGACCGCACACTGTAACCACTTGGAGCTTTTGTACAAATAAAAACCTGTAAATAGCGAGGAAGCAAGCCTAAAATACATTTATAAATTAAAATATGCCAGTGTTTTTTCCTTCGTGTGGACAAATCTGACCATCCAACAGGAGAGTACAACAAACGAATGGTGTGTAAAATACTTAAAATTGGTGATAAACCGTAAAGCACCGTGATACACTGAATCTAAAAGACTCATTTCAATGATCCATTGGGCCATAATTATTTAAATATAACCGCAATTACTGATATCAAGTCATTTCGCTGAAAAATAGAGAAGAAAATTGCGATAAAGAGTTTCCCTCCTTTATAAGCTTTGGTTGACTTTTAATAGGCCGAATTTAGAAGAACACATCATTTATTTGTGATGTCTCTTAAAATTACTTGTTCAAGCTGCTTGTATGCTGCAATAACTATGAGACCAAAAAAGTCGCTAATTTCAAACGGAGCTTGGTTTGCGTTTCCTAGTCTGAGCTTTTATTGCGAAAATCTCGGGCTGGCGTTGTCTCGGTTGTTTCTTTAGCGGCGCTCGGTTCTGCCAGCGCAGATTCTGGACGAAAACTAGCGCAGAATTACCGCACAGTAAAAACAATGTTAGAGAGGCCGACGTTTCCCACAATAACCCGGAATAAAGACGTTTATCTGTAGAGTTTCTGGTAAGTTGGACTCTGCGTTCTTGAAGGTTGTCTTTACCGTTAGCCTGTTAGCATACTCGCTAGCAGCAGCTAATGGGGATAACGTTAGCATGCTAGCATACCCGCTAGCAGCAGCTAACGGGGTTAACGTTAGCTTCGCTTAGCTGATGTTGGGCTGTCACAGTCTAGACTTGCTAATGTAAACGTTCATTTTCAACCAGACAGTCCGACTCTTTCTTTAAATTATTTTTTGTACCGCAGTAAATGGAAACTTTAGCAGCGTTTTCATCGTCACATCAGTAAAGAGGAACTGACTACCAGGCAGCTAATAAAGGCTGTCTTATTCTTTGTACTCAAAGAAGCAGTGTTTCTTTATCGGCTCCGGGCTGCTTGCAGACAGAAAAACATGTTGTTTTGTTTTTTTTTTTTTTGCATGTTTAGGACCCAGAGACCTTCTCGTGTCAGCTCAAGGTTAAATACAACACACCGGTTTTCATACGTGACAGCTGGAACCACCAACATCCATAACATCCAGACAGGCAGAGGAGGGAGTACTGTGTTACGGTCAGCTTGTTTTTGACAAAAATCGAAATAAAAAGTGATCTGTAACTTGTAAAGATAAACTCCGTCTTACAGCAGCAAAAGACGCAAGAAAGGGGATTGATAAGAGATAGGAATGAAGCACAAATAGAGTCAAAATATGCAAAAATCAAATAAAGATCATAAAGACTGTATACACTGTGTACGTCTTTCACATATACAGTTGTGACCGGATGAATAATTGTACTCAGAAAGTATACACATGTGTAGAATAATATATATATATATATATGTGTGTGTGTGTATAAAGAGTAGATAAATATAGTTGCACATATGTTAAATTACGCCGGAATTAGCACTGGACAGTTGGACAATATGAATGTATTAACTAATGCTGCACAGCAGTCTTAAGTATAAAATATATAAAAATACAAGAATATTCAAAGTACTGTACACTTTTTTTTTTACTGTATGAAAGGGTAGTCTTACAGGCTATAAATACATTGTAATTGGTAAATAACATAATTAAAAAAAATAAGAATATGGAAATATGTGTAATAATGACGGAAAATAGTTGTAATGATGCAAATGCATCTTATATTATTGCATACAGAGATGTGGAGAAAAAAGCCAGGAATTTTCACCAAATGACATTAACAACTCTGTTTGAGGGGAACCAAGCCTTTCCATATGATGTGACACTGGACAAGGCATCCACAACAGTTTTTTGCTTTTAGTGGCTTTCAGGTTGTCACTTGCCATACAGAACTTTGTAGTGCTGATTTAAATGATCAAAGACCTGACACGGGGTGTCTTTTCATTATAGTTATAATAATATTAATAGACTAGACCATTAATTGAAAGGTTATTTGCAAAATCATCACGCTATGATCGTAAACTGAATAGTTTTGGGGTTTTGGGCTGTTCATTCCAAAATACGTTTGTAGTGAAACAGTGGGCTCTGGAGAAATGTGAAGGATATTTTTCACAACATTTTATAGACCAAATAATGAACTAACTGATCAACAAAAAGGACTAAATAAAGATAATAGTTGGCTCCATCCCTAATTTAGGTGTCTTCTGAGTTGGACAACACACGCAATTGAAGATGTCACATTATGTGAACGTTTTATACACTATTTTGATGTAATCAACAGATTCATTGGGAGAAAAGATAAAGGAGTGATTTGTTTCCTTCTGCTGCTCAGCCTGAATTAGAGCATTGCAGCTTTCTCCAACAAAATATTAATTTCAGACAACTATCTGTTTGTAGAGCTTTGTCATTGTTGCTCTCTTCTCAGTTTCTGTTCCAGTAATCCTTCCTGTTTCACCTTAAGGTTCCCACTGAGGGTTTGCAGAGTTTACATGCTGAGCAACACTCTGTTTCACACACATTCACTTTCACACATTCACACATGTGAGCTGCCAAATACAAAAACTGTCCTCGTATGTTTTCCACCCAGTGTGGATTTTCTTCTCTTTGCCTTTTGGTCATCTTCTCTGCTTTGGTTTTGTGCTTTCAGACTGTGGTGACATCAGGCTTGGACGGAGGGATGCCTGTGGAGAGTGGGAGCAGTGCTGCTGCCCGCCAGGCCAAGCAGAAGAGGAAATCGCACAGCTTGTCCATCCGCAGGACCAACAGTACCGAGCAGGATCGCTCTGGCCTGCAGAGAGACATGGTGGAGGGACAGGTGACGACTCCTTCATTCACACAATGAGACTACACAACAAACGCCGCGACAGCAAATGCCAGTTTGTGTTATTTCTGGTAGCGCTGTTCATCTACCACCCCCATAGAATTAGTTTACAGTTTGTTATTTGGGACCCACAACTAAGTTCTGTAAAATATTTGGGCTGAATTTTTAAAATATTTCACAGAACTTAGTTTTGGGTCCCAAACAACAAACTCTAAATCTGAGATGGTGCAGCCACCAATTTCCAGAATTGACACTGACTGACCCTGCTGATATAATCCTAAAATACTCAGTGGGCGCGATCATCAGAATCATGTGCTTGCATTTCCAGCTGCTCCTACCTGTGTGTCACTATTAGCTCGCTATCCTGCTGTTGCTGCTATAACTCATCCTGTTGTAAGCCTAAGCCAATTAGGTTTTAATGCAGCCATTCAGAGGACACATAATGGTGGCATTGTTGCTGGCTTACGTCTGCCACAGTTAAGTAAGCTTGCTGTAAAGTTGTTTTAGTTAATTCGTTGAAACAGATGGATTTAAAACAGGCTTAAGCATTTGCACTCATGCAGATGCATCGCTTAGATCACTGGTGTTTGTACCTGTTTCTCAGGTTGTTGTTTTCCGAGAGGGTGGAATTAAACTGAGCAAAAAGGAGGAAGAAAGGATTAGGAAGGGCTATATTTAGACGTGGCCTTACACTTCCCAGGGACAGTTAAAGCCAGTTGAACTTTCACCTGTGAGTTTGTACAGCCTCCTAACTGGCTTCTGAGCATCACAAAGCTATGTTTTCATTGCAGATTTTTTTAATGCACATTTTCAAATCAAAAACAACCAGATTTGACCTAAGTGCTGCACGTTAACAGTCCGGCAGCAACAAAATAAGTGCAACAAGCATTTAACTTACAAAACTGAATAAAAATGTATAAAATATTAAAACTGTCCAAAACAGGATAACAAACTAGAAGTTTTGTCAAAGTTTAGGATAAAATAAAACACTAGAGTAAACTGAGCTTCATCTTTAAATTTGACGACATGATCCTTTATTGCCAAGATATACCATAAGGGAGGCTCTGTGGTTTGCTAATTGGAGATAGTTTAAGTTTAGATTATTGTTGTCCTCATGGGAGCCTGAATTCCCTCTGTTAAAGTTTGCTAAGCTCATATCATCATCATTTTTTGTATGTGTTGCACACATCAGCATATAGAGCTGCTGTCTTGTATGTTGTCTGTATACTTTTCTTTCACTCTGCCATATAAACGTCACATGGATTCAAATGCATATCTTTTATTCATAATCAGGTTTTGCTTTTGGAACCCCTTTATAGTTTTTAAGCAGTGCCCTAATCTGGAAGAGGGTTTCATTTGTGCTTTTAATGACTGAAATAGCAAAAATGTTGAACTGGAATTTGCACAAATGTAAACAGGCCTGCAGTCTGAGATCACAAAATCTTGCGCTTAAGGGAAGGTGAGTTTGTTGTCTTTAATTTAACAACTACAGCTGATTACAGACAAGCAAAAACAAGCTGGACTACTGCTTTTCCAGCAGTTCAGTGTCTGGTTCACAGACAAACTCCTGGTCTAAGTCGGCATTAATATTTTTTTTCAATACATTTATGCTGGCATCTCTTGTTGTTTCACAGTGGACTGTTTGACTCGTTTTTGCAGGAAAGGCGCAGATGTAAATAGTAAAATTAAAGGTGGCTGACCTCAGTTTAGCTGCTTTGTCTGACAGGGACACATGCATATTATAGAGGCATCGATAATGTTATGAATACCATCTGTGCTTTTCTGCTATGTTGCAAAAAAAAAAAAAGGCACTTACATGAGGTAAAATCTACATATTTATATTTGTCTGTGTATTTAGAATAGAAGTTGTAATTGTAAGTATCCTGATATTTCAAGGGAATTCCTTGCAAGCTTTTTGACCCTCTAAATGCAAACATTAAGTTTATTGTTGTGACTATCTTGCCAACATAGATTTATGATCATGCAGCCTCAGTACAAACAACATGGAGCTGTTGTTGATTTGAACCTGTTTAAGCTCCCATTTCTAACCCAACGTGGTATAATCCCTTCCTCATGACTTCTTGTTTTTTCACTCTGGTCCCTTTTGGTCCCAGTCCTCTGATAATTTGGAATCCTTCATGAGAATGGAGGTAAGTTTCAGATGTTTAGTCCTCCGTGTTTCTGACAGTAGTGTACATAGCTTTAGTTGTGTAGGTTTGATGTAGTTTAGGTTTGGTTAGTATTGAGAAGAGGTGATATATGCCCCCCCGAAAGTGCTTTCTCTATTTTTGAATCCCCTTTTACCTTGTGTTTTTGTAGATAAATATATAAAAAAATATGCATATGTTTTATTTTGCTAGATTGCAGTGAGACTTTGGATTTGGTGCATCTACACTTTTCAGTTAAAAACAAAACACAAAAAGTCTAGTTTGTTTAATTATCCTTCATTTTGAGATTCGATGCTGACAGTAAGTGGACATAAATATTTAGGTGAAAAAGCAGTTTTTAAAAAAAAGAGAGTAGAACACAGTGCAGACTTGGTGAATAAATAATAGTGTACATAAAGTACGTTATGTAAATGTCACACAACCCCAGTTTTCCATTGTTTGAGGTTTGACTGAATCCTTTTTTTTAATCACCTCATCTCATTGCACTCTTCTCTAAAGATGATTATCATAATGTAGTTAGGTGCTAATATTTGGATAATAGTAGAGGATGGAAAGACACATTAATCTCACCTTAATCTTCTGTGAATTCAGTTAAAATTTCTACAACATATGGTGAAACATAGTGAAAACTTGTGCTTTAATGCCAGTCAAATGTGACATTATTGCCAGTTATTATATTTACTATTATATTTACGCTTAATTATAGTGTCAGGCCGTGATGTGCTGCATCTGCACATTAGAGCTCAGGCACTTGTTATTGTTATTGCAGTGCCAACAGTGTAAAAGGGCCCGAAACCAAACACAAAAATATATTTATGCGTTTTCTGCATCCCCAGCTGAATGCATATAGGTTACCGTGACAACACAACACATCCAATTATCCTCCTGTAACTGCATGGCTTCATTCAGTGGGATTACTAATGTACAGTTTAACAGGTTTGTAGATAAAACTTCAGCTGATAATCTGAATCACTCAGAGAGAATCATCAGGAGATGGACTGGTTAAAGGGA